ACCCATGCTGTACTGCTCGTATCCCCAACCGCCAGGGGCGAGTCCCTGAGGAATGCACTCCCATTCGGATTTCTCCTCGGGAGATGTGGGAGATGGTCTACGACCGCTGTTTCCGGGATACAAAGGCTGCTCATTCACAATTGGCTTTGGGAAAGCCTCCTCCTTGTCGACATTGGCGTTCTTCACCACAGACTCACCATCCTCAGTGACTCCTACAGCCCGCTTCGAGAGGCCTGTCTCACGAGGTGCCACGGGCTCGTCGCGCTTCTCGTCCACGGCAGGCTTGTGGCCTTCGGGCTCTTTCATGTGCGCAGCAACGGCCGCGGCACTGGCAGCCGCAGCCGCAGCCTGCTCCTCCTGGTAGCGAATGGCCTCCGCGGTCCTGTTGCAGCCTGAAGCGTCGAGTTGCTCGGGGAAGATGCCGTTCAAGGTGGTGCCGCGGTTCTGGAGATCCTCGAAAGCGTCGGTGATGCGCGCAATCGCATCGTAGTACTTGTTCTCTCCGGTCAACTGAGCGAGGCGCGTGAACTCCATAGTCATGGAACCCAGCTCAGCGACGCCGACGTTGCCAGCGCGGTGCGGCTGGGAGGCGTACTGGGGCTGCCAGTTATAGTATAGAATGGGCATGCGGTTGGGGGTATCGAAGACGCCCATCAGGATCTCGGCAAGCTCAACGGCCTTGTCCAGCAAAACATCGTAACCACCCTTCTTTCCTCCGCTCACGTCGTACGCCGCAAGCAACCCGCCCAGGTATCTTATAATGGTTTCGAAAACGGGAATATCGCGGCGCGTGGGGCTGAAGGTGAAGTCAATATCCTTGACGGCCTTGGCAGCCTCGTTGAACTCCTCCTTCATGCCCATAATCCAGAGGGTATCGAGACCGTCCACAAGCGTAGCAGCCCAGCCACAGAAGGGGTCACGGTAGCGAGCGCTGACGGGGGAGAGCTCGTCGTGCATCCAGGCGTACTTGCGGTACCCGCCCCAAGAACGAACCATCTCAGCCTTGATCTGCGCCAGGCGTCTCTCGCGCTTCTCCTTGACGGCAGTCGTCTCGGGCTCGAACTTGTACTGGATCCTGGGGATGTCCTTGGGCTTGCCGGTGGGGAGGGGAATGATCTTGTCGGTGGGAACGGGAAAGTGCTCCTTGACCTTGTGCCAATGGATCTGGGAGGTCGTCGTGGAGGCGCTGGACTCGGCGTTGTCGGCGTTGGGTCGGCCGGGAGGCTTCTTGGCGTGGAACTCGTCCTCGACGGGGATCTTGGCGGCTTTCGTGACCTCGGGCTCGTTGTCGGGGTTGTAGACGGGCATCGTGGGCGTGTTTGCGGACTTTGTGGGAATGCCCTTCTTGGGGGTTTCGGTCTTAAGCTGGGGGATCTTGACGACGGTCTGCTTGGCCGTCTGCCGCATGGGGTTCTGCTCGGGCTCATCCTCCTCCTGATCGTGAGGGTGTTCGCTGTCCGGGGGCGGGTTGTTGTTCAGAGGCTTGTTGGCGGGGGGTTCGTTGACGGGAGGCTGCTTCGCGGGCTCGGTCTTGCCCTTGGCAGGTTCATTGGGCTTGATGCTGCCGGTGTAGCTTGTCGCATCCCATTCAGGGTTCTTGAAGACTTGATACAGCATAAAAGCCATGACAAAGGCCACCAAGAGCACATAACGGCTCCTCCTGCGGGGCATCATGATTGCTTGCTTGCTCGCCGGGGCGAGTCTCTGGGGCGCAAACTTGGGGGAGTCGGGTGTAAGATCGGTCGCGTGCTACACTGCAGGTAGCGGTTCGACCGTCGATCGTGGACCCAGGGGTCCAGGGAAAAGAAGAGCGGCAAGGATGGCAGTGAGTTAACGCAGTGTCATTTCTCGGTATTTGGGTGATGGTCGGATTCGAAAGGGCCCTTGAGCAGGCGGGAAGAGTGATTCAGTGTAAGGAATGGAAGAAGGGAAGGAAGGAAAGCAATTGGAGTGTGATTGAGGCAAGGCAAGACGAGGAGCAGGAAGAAAAGATACGTGGAGAATTGGATGGGATGCACGACAGTTGAGGTAAGGTGCCTAGGTAGGTCAGCAAGCAGGTAGGTGGCATGTACAGATTGGCTTTCGGCTCCATTTAGGGGGGCACACGGAGCTGCCAGGATGGCCAAGATGAACTTAAGTGTTCTAGTGCAGCGCCTCTGAGGGGAACGCGCTACGGATACAGAGCACCTGCAGGGCCTAAGCCTTTAGGTAATATGGAGGTGGGATGTGGGTGTGTGGATGGCACAGATACAACGTTCAGCAGCGCCGACAACGTGGCACAGAAAGTATTTCGACATCAGACCAGCACTGCGCAGTTATGTACATACGCAGTAGGGCGAACAGGCCGCCCGCCACCTGTGCGCCGTGGGAGGTGGAAGCTGCCCGAGAGCAGCAGTCAGCGCACATGAGGCGAGAGAAGAGCAGACGGGCCGGGAGAGGCAAAAAAAAAAAAAAAAAAAAAAAAAAAAAAAAAAAAGGCACGACAGTTTACAGACGCCAAGACGCGAGATCTGAGCTTTCCCCGTGTCGGATTGAAGCATCTGGCTCCAGCAGGTCAGGGGTTCAAGACGTCTTTTCCCAGTGGTGCTGTGCAGAGGCCCGCACTCGTACACTGGTATCCGCCCTGTATGTATCCAACCTTTGCACGGCCGGGTTCTCCTTAACGATAGCTGTCACGGATTCGAGATTGCCCGTATGGATGTCTGAAGATCCTCTCTATCAAAGACGTTTCAACCCGTCTAGCCAACTCTGTCAACTTCTCATTGGTGCAAAGTTTCGCCCTCAGCCGCAGATACGCCCGCCACTTGTCTTGAAGTCAAATCATTCTCAGAGTGCAAGCCAGGTAGGGAGAGAAATTACAAGACACTTTTTTTTTTTTTTTTTTTTTCCCCTCTTGTGCAAAAATGTCTCTGTCCTTTCCCCCTTGCTTGCTCAACCGATTGCTACCCCAGACACACATGGGCAACTTACTGAACAGTACAGAGTAACACGCAAAGAATGGCGCATGGCAATTGGCTCCCGTGGCGGGTCACACCTTAAGTGATGAAAGGCCACGGCGGCCCTCCCAGCTCGCAGCCAATCCGATGGCAGGGGACCGGCGCACCTTAACAGCGGGGCGGAACGGATCCATATGGACCTTATTTTTCCAGGGAGTCGGTGGCCAGCTGCTCCTCCAAAAGTCGTATCCCAAGATGGATGATCCTCGCAGTAGATTGCACCAACCTTTGGGTACGAGGACACTGGAGTCCGAGGATGATTTTGGGCAAACTATTCGTCTCGACTATCCAATACTCTTAATAGGTAGGTACACAAAAGAGACAGAGGCGTGCCCATCAAGTCACCCGACCTCCTTTACTACTGTCTGTGAGTAGGTACCTAAGGAAGCCAAGCCGGATCCCCGCCGTCTCTTTAACCGTGCTATTGTCTTGGCACGAACAGCTGCCAGAGCTTCTGCTTCCGGCAACCCATTCAGCCCTCTCTCTGTCTCCTCTCAGGCTCTCTCTCTGAGACTCTCCACATCGAACCCCCTTGCGCCCCTTGGCAATCAAACGACGGACAGCCGAACAACAACCGGTCGTCAATCGCTTCTCCTCGGGCCAGAAAGAAAGCCTGTGCGACGATCGCAGTCTTGTAAGCGCCAGCCTCTGTTGACGTGCAGTGCAGTGACACGAGCAGCCGCAGCAAACACGCTGACCGACCGGCCTGCCGTGACACGGGGGGGCCCGCTGTTCAGAAACGCCGTCTTCAAGCCGAAACACTCGAGCCTCAAGACATGACTTCAGCGCTCCTGCACCGCATGAGGCGCGATTGACTGGAAAAGAAAGAGACGAGCCGATAAGCAGGTGCTGGACAGGTCTCCGCGGCATGCAGAGAGAAAGGGAAAACACGAGACGAAAAGGAAAAGAAAAGAAGGTTTCGGGTTCCTGTCTTTCATCACCGCCCCGAGCAGCAACATTTGCCGAGCATCTCCAGGGTCCCGCCCCGTCTCCACGAGATCTGCCTTATGAAGATGCGAAAAAAAAGAGACAGTCCGAGAAGTTTAAAGATTCCGTCATTCCGTTGCGCAGGTGCATTTTTTTCGTAGTCAGCACCGCCCGGAATGCAGAGGGCCCTGCATCATACCGCATTAAGAGACAGGTCGGTCGGCTGCCGGGCCTCCGATGCCACCCTCCCCAAATATGCGGGCGGAGCGCTGCAAGAATGGCGGAATAATTCCAACAACGGCAGGAACGTTATTTGGACTTTGGGGAGGGTGGTGTTCCCAGCCGGATATTTACCACACTGCGACGTGAATATGCTTAATTGATCAGATATAGCACGAAGTCCTCGGTTCGACGGTCCTCGGCGGCGATAGATCTCAACTCACGAGACAGCTCCTTCCCAGCTGCGACCTCCTGCGAGGCACCACATTATTGTGTTACGTTGTTTGAGAGCTTCTGTGAACGGTGTCATGGCTCCACCTGATTGAGGTTATCGTGAAACTCAAAGACAATGGGGGCTTCTAGACAGTAGATACCAAAATGGTTCATGGCAAGAGAAGGTCGCTAGGGTTGTGCAAGAGTGATGGCAGGTAGCGATGACATGAAAATGTACTTGAATGAGTCTCCTTAGGTATTCCATAGATGGGCAACTCTTCAGACTTTTGGAGATAAGCCTCGTCACGAACCCTGAGGGCTTTTCTAAAACGAGCACGGCATTTACATTCTGCTTCTACCTTGATGATTATCAAAAAAGAGTTCTACTAGTCGGGCAGTGTCCACATACGCGTGTTTCCTCTCACAACGACTATCGTCGTCGTCGTCGTCGTTATTATTACCACTACCCCTGATGCTTTCTCTACTGCTGTCGTCCTTGTAGAAGTATTGGGTGTGCTACGGTACTGCCGGGTAGCTAAATGACACTGCTTGGCTAGCAAAGCTCCTAAGCAAAGCCTTTCATTGAAATAACGCTTCTCAACTCCTGCTCGATTACCAGCGACTTAGCAACAATCAGTAGCCAATATGTACGACGACGAGTGGAACCGACTAACCCCCGAAGAACAGCACGAAAGGCGCAAGGAGCACGGAACATGGCCCGCCAGATTCCTCAAAGCCCTCCGGTTCAAATTACACAAGAAGCAGTCCCCGGAGCAGAGAATGGGTGCCACCGGCGAGCTCACCCGCCGCCGCCGTATCCAGCTTCACTTCCTGTAACTGTACTTTTCTCCGGCCATGGTCGCGAGGATACGACCGCACTTTCAACACTTTGCCGAGTACCAGCTGTCACTCTCTAGATATGTCCGGTACCGTTGTAAAGACATGCTGCCCCGTGAGTTTTGGAACTTGCCGGCCAACTCGCCGAGCAGAATGACGAAAGCCCGGCTTCTGCTTGTCATCAGCCTGGTCTTCCATCCGGATGTCAGCGCTCAGATTGCTTCCAACATTGAAGAATTCGATGAAATTGCAGGTATCGAGTGTACGGACGCGTTCATTGGCGAGACTAAGTTGCGGGATTGGTTGAAGTACCTGCTTGACTACACCCTGTCAGGGTTGGCTGGCGCAGGTTGTCCCTTTCTCAGATATGATGTAGGCTCCGGATAACGGCGCATCTTTGTTGCAAATGCTGGCGATTAATAATAGAAAGCAGCGTGGTCTAGTACTGACGATGAGGGCAATCCTAAGAACCTACACCCGGGACCTAATCCGGGCTTTCTCGAGTTTATCAGGCCAATCGATATTGAGCAGATAAACTTGAAAGGCAAAAACGTTCTTGAGGCATGGAGGAGTCATCCAGTCACACGATCTCTGAGCCGCCTCAAAGACGGGCAGGATGAGTTGCGACACGACCCGGCTAACTTGGGGCAAACATGGACGCCCGCAACACCAGGCACCAACTGCGTATACACCAGTACAAACGAGCATTTCCTACGCGAGACATTCCACCGACCTTTCATTCCCTTGAACAGAGAAATCGAAGAAAACCAGATGACGCCCAGATTCGTCGGCGGTGCTGTCACCAGATTCTGCCCTCTCCGAGAGTACCTCTGGACAGCTTTCCGAACGCACATGATATCTCTAAAACCACCAGTAGAAGAGCTCCCGCACCTCAGAGCCTCGTGGACCGCCCGAGATCGAAAACTCTACCGAGGGGTGCTGCTGACCCAGTACAACAGCATTCAGCCTGCGCCGGCGGAGCTGTCCCACTACTTTGTCCCCGAGGGCCAGGAGACAACCTGGGGGGACTTGTCGCTTAACCATTGGGTCGTAAATGCAAAGGCTTGGGATCATTATAACCAGATACACGGCCAAGGCCATCGCGAGTGGCCTCATGTGGTTCATGTAAAAGCATATCCTTCGCCATCACCCACAACACATCAAACTTGCACAAACATGTGGCGAACTGCTTGGAAAGATGGGTCTAACTCAGAGCACAGTCGTGACCAAAAGGCAATAATGTACTTGAGTTCGCAGTACAAAGCCACGTTTGCCGTTTCTGTTGAGAGGACAAAAACTGGTCCCCGAGCCAGCTGAAACCACGCGAGCTTACCAGGTTTCAGTGAAATAGTCGCAGGTGGGAATGAGATACAATTCAACGTGATACCGCAAAACGCAGTTCGGACATCAAACTACAACAGAGGCCCTAGAGCATGTCAGAGCATGTCTGCCGTTTGACTCAAACAAACTGCTTCGGCATGGCACGCTTCAACGACAGGTAAGTGTCTCGCGAGAATGACCCCAAACTATCGAAAATGGTATCAGTCCGTTCCATTTCCACAAGTTTAGAGCTAGAGCACCTGTGTATGCGGGGGTGTTCCAGCGGCATCGCTGTTGTTCATCTAGGCCGTCGGCCTTGGCCCTAGGACAATACGAAGCATCAGCAATGCTGGAACATATCTCGAACGGCCAAAAGGATTGCACTTAAGTTCCAAACAGTCCAAAAGCGCTTAGCCCGCGTCGTCATTACGGTCAAGATTGTGCCTGCTGCGAAGCAGGCCTCCTCTTCGAGAGGGGAGTCATCGATCAAGAAACCGCCCTATGAAGACGACGAAGACGACGATGGCGACCAACCCAGGGGCACCAAGAAGAATAAGTTCAAGACGCTGCGAGGCCTCAAGCAGGATGCTTCAGAATCCGAAATTCGACTTCGGCAAGAGGCCCAAGGCATGGTCCAACCAATCCACGGACTAATGACTTCGCTGCGGCTTTCCATACACAACTCGAGGGTATTCGGTCAGGTGTAAGAGTGTCTGTTCTTCTAATGAATGATACAAATAATCACCAAGGAACAGCCAAAGATAACGGAGGTCTTACCAACCAAGACCTCGCCCTATTGGCCGCGCACCTAAAGCCCCCTCCCCTGGCTCCATGGAGCCTGAGAGGGGATGGACTGCACGAGATCATGTAAGCTATCATACGCAAACGTGAGACCGAACCCCCGAATAACAGTGATGGATACAAACTACCTCCTGGCTAGTACCTTGAACAGCACGGGCAATTTTGCCCATGCCTTGAACGCAAAACCCGGCGCTGTCGATGATACCAAGCTCAAGGAGAGGCAACCTACACCAAATAAAAAAAGGACCTCCTGCTTCAAAGAGCACCGCTTCAAACCTCCTTTCTTCATTCTCCTCAAGGTATTGCCCCCATATCCCAGGGTATTCAGACTACAGCGCTCACAACCCGACCGGAAACCTCCAGAAAAGTTACAAGGCCCAAGTAGACCAGGCTGAAAGCACCGTAGCTCGCATATCTGTTCATAAACACACACAGGTGGAGAAAGGAATCATAGATTGGCTGTTGTGAAGCGTTCTTCGCCGGTTATCAAGTCGCGCCCCCTTTATATAGACACGTTCGCTCATCACTTCACACAATATCTATCCCCTGTTAGTTGGTTCCTTTCTCCAAGAGTATACAAAGCTATTCAAATTGCTGAAGTAATAAGATATTTCAATGCAAATGTCTATTTTCAGAGCCATGTCTTCCAAACAGCATTCGAGCGTTCTGATAGGTGAAGATGAACCATAGCGTGGAGTTTCCATTCACAAGTACGAACTAACCAGCTCCCAGACATCAAGAAAACAACCCCATTCCAGCCCGTCGCTTTCCTCCCTTTCTCTCTTCGTATTCTGCTACTTATCCACGTCCTTAAACCACCCGGAGCAATTCCGTATCGCTCAGGTATCTCGCACCTTGACATGAGCTTAGCTCGGTGGCTCAATCCAAGACAAAGCCTTGCACCAGCTCTTCATAGACATGCGATTCGTCTCTGTGCTGCTTGGAGGATGTACACCCCGCAAGGTCCTTAACTAGCCGGTCCGTAAATGCCATCAAGTAATCGCCCGTCCCGATCATCAATCCGTTTTCTCGGAGAAATCCCATCTATTACCAGTGACTTCCACCCCATCCATGTAAATTCACGCCTAAATCTCAATGGAAGACCCAACAAGAATTAAAGTATCGATAATAAGCGTGGTGGACTGTAATCTTCAACCTAAGCCTGACAAGTAACTTGGCAATAGCCATAACAAAAACCCAATCTACAACTTCCATATCCATGATACGCCCCACCCACCGCCCTCCCGTCCTTGCTTTCCTAGGTACGTTTATTTGACACCCTCTCTAAGCGCATTCAACAAAAAGTGGTAGGAAAGGTTGACATTTACCTGAGTAGCTATGAGCTTCTCAAGAATCTCAACCAACTTACACTACCACGCATGCAACCCAAACCCCTGACCGCAGGTCCTCAACTCCGAACCTTTTAACATCAGATTAACCAAGGAGCCCACTCCGAACGATATAAAAGCCCACACCATCTCCTTCTGCTCCCGAGAAACTTCAGCAAATCAGCTGGTTGTGGTCCATTTGTTCCTGTTCACCTAAATAATCCCACAAACCAGACACAAAATCGCCCTCTTCATAAAGACAGTCCATCAACCCCTGACGTCCCGACAACCCTTTCATCGTCCATCATTTCTCGCCAAGTATACCGTCCGAATCGCAGATCAACCACTGCAGACGAAACCCCCACTCACCCGCAACAAGAGAGCATGGAATCATGATGCGGACCTACGAGATCGCCCACCTAGACATTCGGAAGAAGAATACCGGCAGTTCTCGTGATTAACCCCCAGAAAGAATTGGTCAATTCCACCTTTTCATCACTCCTGCTTGGTAGAGAAGTCCATGTGGCGGACAGACTCAAGTGGCTTACGCGAGACATACATTCACAACACCATCACAAGGCACCTAATATGCGCCAACCAACTCCATCAATATATTACCCGCCTCGATATATACCTCCCTCCTTCCCCTTGCCTCGGCGCACATCCACCAACCTCTCCATCCCAAATACAACCAAGCAAAGCCCCAAAAAGCGCTCCGCAAAAACAACAAAAATCCCCAAGACCCTTCCCATGCGCCATCGCTGCAACAACGAGCGTCCAGTGTTTTGCATACAACGAGAACAAATGTTTCACCGCTACCTCGTGGCCCAAGCCACGTCTCCCCCTTCTTTTCAATGTCTCTTCTCCTCCTCTTACTTGTTTTCACCATTGGGTACTGAGTTCCCCTCGCGCTCTCCCCGTCAACTAGACATCTTTGCCGCGAATCTTGGTGTACAGTCCAGTATCGAAAAAGTTGTAGTTCGGATCCAGCTCGCAGAAGGGGTGCTGCGAGAGCAGCACGTCTGCGGTAGGCCGCTCCAGCGGGTTTCTATCGTTTGTTAGTCTGGCACGCCGACAGAAGAAGTCGCAAAACACTTACACAGTGAAACAGTCCAGCATAAAAGCAATCGCCAGCGGACTGATAGTTTCACGGACCTCATCTGGGATAGGCGGCGTCTCTCCGTTTGCAATCTTGTAGATGGCGCCAACGGCTTCCTCCTTGGACCAAGGTCGTCGACCGGCAAACATCTCCAGCACAACGCATCCCAAACTCCAGATATCGACCTTGGCGCTGTATCCCTTGCCCTCGGAGCGAATGACCTCAGGCGCCATCCAGAACACGGATCCCTGCATCGAGTTGGACTTGTCATTGCCGTAGATGTTGTCTGTCTTCTTGGAGATACCAAAGTCGGAGATCTTGCAGGTGCCATCGAGATCCAACAAGATGTTGTCGGCCTTGAGATCGCGATGCAAGATACCCTCTCTGTGGAGGTATGCAAGACCAGACAGCATCTGCCTGGTAAGCGACGAGACTACCGATTCCTCAAACTTGCCGTGCTTCCGCAGGCAGGATCCGATACTGCCACCGGAAATATACTCGAGGAAGATGCTGATAGATGTCTCCTTACGCTCGCAACCAAGGTACTGGACGATGTTGACGTGGTCGAGATGCTGCATCGTCTCGATTTCCTGGTCAAGGGCAGCCACCAACTCCCGCATCTTCGCCTTGTCGCCCTGCGCCGCCTTTGGGTTGACCTCGACTTCCTTGACGGCCAAGAACTCTCCAGTCGTAGCATTCATACCGAGGTAGACGCGACCGTAGGTACCCTTGCCGATAAGCTGACCCTTGAACCAACGGAACGTAGTCTGGCGCTTGGGCAATGTATCCTGGGGAATCTGGGGCATGACCATGCTGCCTCGTTGATCGGGCCGGATCTGCACAATGTTGGCGTTAAACATCTTTGTGCTCTTCCTCCTCATCAATGCCGATGTGTTCTGGCCATTTTGGCCCTGTTGCGTTGTTGTGGTAGTAAACCGCTTGTTGGCCTCGTGAGCACCACGAGCAACTTCACGGATGGACTTCATACGGCCGAGACCTCCAGAACGTCTCACGCTGCGTTGAGCGACTGAGGCCACAGAAGCTGGACGCTCAAGTGCCTTGAGAGTAGACTCATCCGAGCCCAGGGTATCGCTCTCGTTGTAGAATGACCGATTTGCCTGGCCCATAGCCACGCGCAAGCTTGGTGGAGGAGACTGCGGAAGCGCCGAGGGTCCAGGGGCAGCTTCCTTCTCCTCGGACTCGGCAATAGGAGACGGGGGCGAGGCATCCGCTCCTCCCTCTTCGAGTACCGGCTGGTCGAGATCCAAGTTCGGGAAGAAGTCGTCGAGGTTGTTGATAAGGGCGTCGGTGGTGGGACGGTTGGCCCAGACGTCCTTCTCCACAAACGACTTTCTTCGGCTAAGCTTGCTGTCTTCCGACTCCCATCCCTCTGAACCAGGTGTGTTGGGCGTCCTGCGTGAGCTCTTGCCGCTGCGAGCACTCATGAGAGCCTCGTCTTCTTCACCCTCCTTGCTCGAGCCGCCGAACGACTTGGGCGAGTTGAATGATACGGAAACCTTCTTCTTCGACTTGGCAGTGTTCACCGTCAGGGTCGGTCGTTTGTCGTTGGCCTCATCAGGCGAATCATCGCCATCGAAGATGCGCGTAATCTTGGTAGGCTTCTTTTGCTGGCTTGTCAGAGGAACGGCAAACAAGCCATCATCAGAATCGTCACCAGAGTCGTCATCACGCTGTGCAGGAGGCTTGTCAAAGCTGACTTCCGTATCGAGGAAATCAAAGTCTGGCCCATGTGATTTGCGGCGAGGGGGCTGGGGTTGTTCAGTCGGGGGGATTTGGGGCGGGTTGAGGGAACTGGGGCTTATTTCACGCGAATGTACCCGGTGTGCTGTTGATTTGATTTTAGCGACCGTACCATTTTGAGACCTCTTCCTTGACAGCGGAGTCCCGCCGGGAGAGTAGTCAGGCACGACGAAGGGCAGATTTCCACGGCTCCATGTGAGAGAGCCAGGTGAGCCAGACGCCGTGCGAGGACTACCTTGATCCGAGCAGGACTTGCCAAAGTCAACCGACGACATTGCTCCCTTACCTCGATCTGAGTAATCGCCGCTCATGTTAGAGTGCGACGACACTCGCTTGGGCGACTTGGACCTGCGGTTGTTCGAGTGGCCAACCGCTCCAAGGCCTCTGCCCATGCCCACGAGGGCTGCACCAATGCCACCGACAGGCTGGCTGTTTGTCTTCTTCTTTTTGTCCGGGTTTTGTCCGGGAAGCTCCATATCCTCAAACAAGGTGGATGGTCGTCGCGGTGCCGACGAAATGCTGCCGTCGGATGACCGCATGGCGTGTCCAGTCTTTCTGCTTAAAGAGTTTGCCTTGAGAAGAGTAGCAGAAGGGTCGCTTGGCGGTGCTGGTGGCTTCCGCACAGGGAACAGTACTTCCGGCTTCTTGTCCTCATATGGCGATTGCCGGGGCTGATCAAAGTCGACTGTGCGTCCGTGAATTCCGTATGGGGTGGACA